ATTTTTTCATTTAAAAAATACGTACGTAAGTATGTCATGCCAATAAAGCAATATGAATTGAATTGAATGTAATTATTGATCGTAAGCAGCACAACATCCAGCTAGAAAACATACAATCTACCTGAGGGAAGACGTCTTTCACTATTGTAAGTGAATGTTGTTAAATAGAGAAACAAAATTATACATTTTTGAAATTGTAACTTCTAGCGTATTGAACTTGGACCTCCAAAAGCAGCCCACACTCTATATGTTCTCGTTCATTGAAAAAATGCTAATTTTCATGCAATCATTGGCTACATGGTTGCAATAAAATTTTAGTTCAAATTTTTAAGAAAAAGTCTGTATTGACTAACGTATAGACGTTCAGTTGTGCTTTCAAATCTTATGCCATAATGTATGTAATTTCACAGTATCCACCTCCTAAGATGTAGTCACAATTCCAAAGTGGTCAAATTTACTCAGGTTTGTGTATAACAGGCTACATGACATTTTTTGTATGATGGATTTAATTGAGGAATTCTCTTTGAAGAAGAGCAGGAAAAAGCCCTTTTAGTGGTGAGTGATATTTAATTAATTTTATTTGCTGGGCTGTTTTTGATTTGTAAGATTATTACTCGATAATATTGTTTAATTTACGTATGTAAGGGATTTTTAGCCTACTATGGGATTATGACTTGCGCATTGAGTATGTTTATTTTTATTTCACGAGTGCGCGTTTATTTCAGAACGTGCGCGTTTTTATACGTGTCTAAATCCATATTAATAATACACTAATTAAAGGGATAGTTCACCCAAAAAATAAAAAAGGAAAGAAAATGAAAAAAAAGAAAAGAAAGAACAAAATGAAACAAGAACATTTTTTAAATTGTAACATTTTTTACAATACTTATTTCATGGTTTTCTCGTGTAACACAATAATGGCTTTAAATGATCTTTTGTAATTTCTAAGACAAATCTGATGTGCGATTAATTAGATACATTTTTGAGTATTTCGCAGTAAAATTTGAAGTATTGTCTTTGTAAATTTAATATAAATTAAATAACTAAATGTGGCCCTGGACCACGAAATCAGTCTTAAGTGTCAATATATTTGAATAAATAATCTTTCCATTGATGTATGGTTTGTTAGGATCGGACAATATTTGGCTGAGATGCAACTATTTGAAAATCTGGAATCTGAGGGTGCAAAAAAATCTAAATATTGAGAAAATCATCTTTAAAGTTGTTTTAATGAAGTTCTTAGCAATGCATATTACTAATCAAAAATTAAGTTTTGATATATTTACGGTAGGAAATTTACAAAATATCTTCATGGAACATGATCTTTACTTCATATCCTAATGATTTTTGGCATAAAAGAGAAATGTATAATTTTGACCCATACAATGTGCTGCTTATGACTGCTTTTGTGCTCCAGGGTCACATATATCTAAATTAAATGTAAATCAGTAGTTCATGCAGAGACTTCTGTGAATACCATTTTCAACCTAAAGGTGAGTCCTACTTTTTACATAAAATGCTTACAAACACTTTAATTAATATAAAGCATCATTGATAAGGTAATTCATACTCATTTTTATTTTATTTTTTCAATATTTAACAGTAAAATTTAAAGTGTTGTCTTTGTAAATAAGTTTGTTGAATGTTGTAAATGTTCACTGATAAGGTAATTCATATTGTATTTTTTTATATTTTACAGTAAAGATGCATTATCTTTGGTAAATATTCTTCAGTAAGGTAAAGTACAGTTAATTAAGCATTTTTACATTCTTCTCCTGTTGTATTTTCTCAGATGAAATTCCGCAGCACTTCATTTATTTACATGACTTTCTCTGGATGTTTTATCTCCATTAATGGATTCTCATTCTGTCTTATGAAGATGGTGTACGGGTGCGAGGCTCGCTGCTGTCTGCATGATTTTATGGTTGAAATGCAGTGACATTCGGCTGGATTTCTGCACTCTCAGTAGCGCATGATGAAATGTGGTGGCAGCTGAAAGAGCCGAATAAATCATCCGGCCGGTTAGCTGCTCTCTTACATCCATTATTAATCACAATTCAGAAAGAGTTGTTCCCTATTTATTAGTCATCATAAAACTGCTCTGGACTCTTTCCCATCGTAACGTAGCTGGAGGGAGTGATTTATGAAAGCAGTAAGCCCCGTGAAGCCATGGTTTACAGTGAATTTATAACAGCTAAGGGTGTTGTTAGGCACGATGCGAAGCGGAGTTAGCTGTTATAAATTCACTGTAAACCACGGCTTCACGGGGCTTACTGCTTTTATAAAACGGTTATTCCATATACGTAGTAAGGTTTCACAAAATAAAACAGAGCAAATAAAGTGTAATGATATTAATAAAAACAGTATTCTTCCACCAAACAATGTAGTTCCTCAGAAACAGTTGTGGTTGCTACAAAGTGGTTGCCGAGCAACAGACAAACGTAAACAAAGGTGTATGTTTGTAGTGTAATTTACAACAGCTTCGAACGCGGCTCAGCCAATCAGAATCAAGGACCGGAACTATCCGTTTTATAAAAAAATGTTTTTAACCACTATTTTTGACTGCCACTCCCCCGCACCTGTGAGATGTTTGCGATTACACATATTTTAACGATAATATCTTGGTCTAAACCTAAAGTACTCTTGACAAACTATATATCATTTGAAAGGTTTCGGACTCTAGTTTTCATATTTGATTTTTCATAGAAATGACAGAGCTCATTTTTTGAGATATCAACCTAAAATTTGGCACAAAACTTGTTCAGATTATTGCCGTTGATTTTATTGAAGATTTGGAGGTAAACGTGTTTTGTAAAATTAATATTTTAAATAAAAGATAAAAAATATATATTTTTATATTTTACATTTTCATAAATTTAAACTTCTATAACTTTTTATAAATGTACTTTTATAACTATTTCTGCTTCTAAAATAATCTGCGATGTTTCACCTTTAAAAAGCTACCAATCTTAAGTCTGTGCTCCGAAGTATTCAAGTTTTATAACAATTTTAGCTGGAAAAGTCATTTTTATGCCTATGATCACTATGATCACGGATGATGGGACTTACAGTTAAAAGGCTAAACAGTTTTGTTTTCACAAACTTTGAAATTAAAAAGTTGTTAAACTCATCAAGACGCTGGCACTACGAGGCACTTCAGGAGTAGAGTTGAGGAGCTCTGACATACAACAAAGGAATTTGTTATTTTGTGTCTGTACAGTTGCTTTTGAATGCGGGTCAAATTGACCCGTGAACATCACAAACGTATAACAATTTCTGTATGTGTAACGAGATACATGTTATTGTCACATATGTACATTTCACAACACATCAGTGTTGAAACTGTGCATGCATGTTCATGACCCTAAATCAAAAAAAGTAACAACATTTCAAGACAAATAACATGAGTTAAATAGTATTTCAGATAGATTGAGAAAATAAAAGAGCAAATTTTTACCATCTGTGGCTGACAAAATATTTTTCTGCATTGAAATAAGTGGGGAAATAGCACATTTTTAGCTTCATAAGATAGTAAGAAAAACTAAAATAACAAAATCTAACCAATAAATATTATTTTGGCTCTGTTGCCTTAGAACATTAAAATAGGCGGGTCAAATTGACCCGGGAACAGTACGACCGTAACAATTTATTTATTTATTTTTATTCATGTCAAAACACATCAGCATGTTGAAACTTTGCATGCATGTTCATGACCCTAAATGAGAAAAAGTCACACAATTTCAAGAAAAACAACATAGGTTTAATAGTATTTCAGATAGATTGAAAAAATAAATGATAGCTCATTTTTACCATCTTTGGCTGACAAAATATTTTTCTGCATTGAACTGAGTGGGGAAAAAGCTTTTTTTTTTTTCTAGCTTCATAGGATAGTAAAAAACTAAAATAACAAAATATAACCAGTAAATGTTATTATTTTGGGTCTGTAGAGTTGCCTTAGAACATTACAGTTGTTCTTGATCGCTAACTATACACACAATCTCAAAACTATACACCAACTTGTGCCAACAAGGTCAAAATCAAATAGTTTAGTCAAAAACATGTTCTCTTTTGTCAGACTCAAACTTTGGCCTCAGATGATACACAAACCTGCCAAATACACACACTACTTCACTGCCAGAACACTAGTGAGATCAATTCAAAACACTGTTACAAAAACCTGCGTTTGGGAAATAGGAATCCTTTTGCTAGTCAATGACTGTTACAGTATATGACATAAATAGAGCGGTGCAGATACAGTAACATTCAGCAATAAACTGTAAGAAAAGTTTAGTCACTACACTACTGTAAAGAGACATTACAGTAGATGAAAAGCACTACAAGAGAAAAGTTCAAAGACTGAATATACAGTAAACACACATTGGAATATACTGTCAGTTACTGTAAATAAATTCAGTATCCGCTGCCAAGTTGCATTACAGTATTGGTAATATCCTTACTGTATTTTATATACTATAGCAGTTTGACTTTCTCTGCCTCCGCTAGACAGTCGACTCTCAGTTCTGCACAAATACATAAATCTGATGAAGAAACAAACTCATCCTAATCTCAGATGATCTGAGGATGAGCAGCACATTTTCATTTTTTGTGAAGTTTTCCTTTAAGCCACAGGAGCAGCATGTACTGTATCTGTACGGTCTGAATGAGTTACTGTGTGATTATGTGATTATGAATCTGTTTCAGTTGGAGTATTTGTGTGGGTTCAGACTGTGGGACTGATGGAATCTGATGTTTGTGTCTGTTATTTATTTCATCAAGAGCATCACATGACGGGAGTCCAGCAGGTGTTCATGGACAGATCTCACGTGTGGGTGTGATCCAGAGACTCTGCCTTTATTTAATTCCACTGAGTGACAAAAAGATAAAAATGCATGCTGTAATCTCTTCTGATTAGTATGTGTGATTAAATTGAGCTTATTCATTGCTCAAATGATCCGTTTGTTCAGAATCTTGACTTATGTGTCACAGGTTGTTTTATGAGAATGGAGGTCAGTATGACGACACACAGATTCCCATCATGCTCTGCTGAGACAGTACTGTCACTGTGCAGGTGAGTCGATGCGCTCACATGTTTTTGTAGGCCAAAACCCAGAAGCAAGTTGCATTTTAGCTCTACTGATTCCATCATCCTGAAGTCAATTGTTTTTGATTAAAAGCCTGAAATAAGGTTGGTTCATTGACTTTGAACAGTCCAGAAACGTTCATATTCTGTTTTAGTGTTTGAGAGAGCGAAAGTGTGAGAGTGAGAGTGTGTGTGTGTCTGTGTGCGTGCGCGTGCGCGTGTGTGTCTGTCTGTGTGCGTGAGTGTGTGTGTGTGTCTGTGTGTGTGCGTGCGTGTGTGTGTGTGTGTGTGCGTGTGTGTGTTTCTCGATTGCTAACACAATTCATTAAACAATTCACCATTTTTCAACTATAAACACAATCTCAAAACTACACACAAACTTGTGCAAACTTCAAACTTCCAGGTCAAAATCAAATAGTTTAGTCAAAAACATGTTCTCTTTTGTCAGACTCAAACTTTGGCCTCAGATGATACACAAACCTGCCAAATACACACACTACTTCACTGCCAGAACACTAGTGAGATCAATTCAAAACACTGTTACAAAAACCTGCGTTTGGGAAATAGGAATCCTTTTGCTAGTCAATGACTGTTACAGTATATGACATAAATAGAGCGGTGCAGATACAGTAACATTCAGCAATAAACTGTAAGAAAAGTTTAGTCACTACACTACTGTAAAGAGACATTACAGTAGATGAAAAGCACTACAAGAGAAAAGTTCAAAGACTGAATATACAGTAAACACACATTGGAATATACTGTCAGTTACTGTAAATAAATTCAGTATCCGCTGCCAAGTTGCATTACAGTATTGGTAATATCCTTACTGTATTTTATATACTATAGCAGTTTCTTAGTCTTCTAACAAAACACTTCTCTGCCTCCCCTAGACAGCCGTCTCTCAGTTCTGCACAAATACAGTACATGTAAGGACTACTTGGCTACAAATCAATCCAACAGTAATGAGTTTGAGGGTGTACAACATGTGCTACAGTATTTACTGGACATAGAATAATGAAAGTTCTCGCATCTGAAGTACTGCTGCTATGTACTGTAATTATATTGTATGTGTAAGTAGTATTGAAACCCTGTAGATGAGCTGCAGGCTAACTTCCCTCACGGTCAGTCCATGCAGAAGAACATGCTCAACTATAGTGCTGTGTATTTCATCAGGAACAAGTGTCCTTTGACCTCATCCCCTTCATTTTTATTTTCCCCTCCATGAGTTAACTGATATTTCCGACAACTCAAAAATCAAATCGACCCGGAACAGTACATAAGGGTTAAAGCTGCAGCAAGGAATAGCTCACCAAAAATGAAAATCTGCTTTAAATGTGCTACCTAAGATGTAGATGAGTTTGTTACTTCATTCATCAGGTTTGTAGAAATGTAGCATTGCATCAGTGTCTCAGCAATGGATGCTCTGCAGTGAATGGGTGCCG